CAAATCCACCGCTTACAACCAAAGACCAAAATGCAAAGTCTTAATTCTCAAACTCTTCTATAACAATCACAAACCAAGTCGATGAAAATACAAAGTCTTTACCAACAGATGAGATACATACAACAGACTACATCACTGTAAAGCATTCAACCCAAATTAACTTGAAGGGAAGCATGGTTTGAATGGACAGAGCACCGTAACAATTGTGGGATATAAAGTTTCAGCATCTTAAAGGGTACAACATCAGGTGTGGAAATATTTATCTCTTTTGTTTATACGTAGGAAATGTTTTCAAGCATGTAGACAACCACTAATCCTTCTTTACATATATTTTTGGCAGTTTGCGCCAAGAAGCATCCATATTTTTGTTGAAGGGCAGCCAAAATGGAAACTATAGGCCAAGCATTGGGTAAGCATTAACTTTAAAAACTTTATTGTTTTCACACTTGAATTGTAATGTATGGCCTATTAACCTAATCATTTATTCAGTAGAAAACATGGATGCTTCAAAACCAATGCACTTGGGAATGGTTTGCATGTAAATAAATAGCCAGTAAGAACGGTAAGCATATACTCATGGTTGGTTGATAGCTGAAATTTGAATTATTTCAAAGGCATGTAAAAAGCATTATATTTTCAAATGCATTGGGAGATAGATTAATACAAATAGCAATTCATTCTTTCACCAAGGTGTGAGTCATGTTTTAAAAATATGCTTATCGTTCTTCACTGTGAGATGAAAGTAGTGAAAATTAAATTTGTAAGTTATTTTTTTAAAAAATAACTTGTAATAAAAAGGAGAATACTTATGCTTTTACTATGCTACAAACATGCAGTTGTTCTTAGTTAGTGACCACATTAATAAGAAGTTAAAGAGTGTATGTATGTACAGATACAAACTGAAATCTTCAGCAGATGCTGGTGAACAATGCTACTTCTGTTGAAGTTGGCTGACTCACTGGTAATTGTGGACAATGAGCCATCATTGCTGAAAACTCACCAAAACACTTTAGTGACTTTACAATTGGAATGATTTCACTAACTACTTGACTCCATCATTGCTAAAAACTCACCAAAACACTTTACAATTGACTTAACCATAGGCAAGCTGTGGTAACTGATAAACATTTAGCGTAGCAGGACATTTAAATTTGACCCATTTTACATTGTTGAATTATTTTTAAATAGATTTTTCCATTTGATACTTGTGGTTAATAATAATATTGTCCCTTACAAACTTTCAAATTGCTGACTTCCTAAAACTTTTGTATTGTGCAGGAAGCTAATTATCATTTTTTTGTCCATGTATTTCATTAGCATGAATTACTAAATAGATCCATCTATGATCCTAGCTAGTTTGTAAGTTTTGTGATCTAATAATTTGAGATAGAGATAGGATATGAAGGGCGGCAAGCAGCCTGAATCTCAGGTATATCTCTCGAACTTACACACTCATTTCTGAATTATAGCATTGCTACTGCTGCATCTACATTTATTTAAGCCATATAATCATACAGCTAATACAACTGCACCATAAATACTACTTTAGCACAGAAACTTCACTTTTGTAAAAACATATAGCTTTCTTCCGGATAGACTCTTGTTGCCCTGACCTTTAGCCCAAGTGATCCTTGTTGCAAAAACATATAGCTTTCTTTCGTGAATCTTTGACCCCTGCAAAAAATAAAGATTATTTTTTGTAATTTGAAGATTGATAAATGCAAAATGATGTTTTCAGGTGGTCATACTGGAGTTCTGTGGATTGTTTTAAGGGTCAAGGTAAAAATATATTGAAATGATGCAAGTTTGGGTAAACATTGCCTAACTGCCTATATATTTTCTTTATAATATCATTTTTTGTTGTAAAATGAGTTATTTTCTGACATTTCCTAATAATCTAATGCCTAGACTAATTCTTACCTAGTCTAAATACAACAATCAAGCAATTAAGAACCTTACAACACTACTATCAACATGAATAATACTTTAAATAATATTTCTTTTTGTAAAATATATATAAACCATTCCATAAAATGGTTAAAGCTTAAATAATACTGATAAGTGGTCTGATAAAGTAATGTTTAAGAAGGAAGTGGAATAATTGTTTTGTAATTGGAGGTGTTATGTACTATAGGCAGCCCTATTTATTGTCAGCCTTGTCTACTGAAGGCTTTTTCTACCTATTTTATTATATGTAAATGTCATTGTCAATATACACATAATTGTCTCTTTTTTGCAAATAGATACCTAATCTTTTGCTGTTAGCACTTTCCTAACCTACTGTGAGTAGGCTCTAAAATAAAATCCACAATGTGTATCATTGAAATGGGTAAATTTTATAGACAACACTAACCTACAGCTCACACTAAGTTGATGTGTTTAAAAACTCTGGCATTACACTGTTTGAAATTTGAAGTGGAAATGACATAAGTTTGTAAGACATCAATATTTTGCAAGAACAGTTTTCTAAATTGATATCAATGTGGCATTTCCCTCTAATTAACATGTAAGCGCATTATTTTGAAAAATATCCAAGCACACAATATGAAGTAAGAGCAATTCTATGGGCATAATAGGGATAATATTCTTGTTGTATGTTCAGAACTTTAAATGAAAGAGAAGAGGCGGAAGGATTTGGTGGTGTTCCTTTAAAATGAGGTCTCCATATTTATAGAAAAACATGGATATTCCTTCCTAAAGAAGTTTTACATCTCCCAGTGACAGGCTGGCAAAAGTTTCCATATTTTTTATGGAAATACCGTGAACACATGCCCTCGAGACAGAGGCTGCCAGCGGTTCATTGTTCCAGGCCATTTTTACAACCAAAGTGAGAAATTTGTGCATTTCCTTTACTCATACACTATCACAGTTGAGAATTTATGAACTCAGTGTGTTATTGTCATATTCTAGATACAAATGTGAAGTCTGCTAGAGGAACGGTGCTCAACTTTGACGCCCGGACAACTGGAGACCCATCTCCGATCAGTCTTCCTCAACCGAACTCTGGGATTTCGCTGGATTTGATGATGTAAGTCACTGAAGGGAGATCTCTCTAACGATGTGCAAGCAGCTGAAGCCAGACCTTTCATCCCCCACAAAAGCCTTTTTGTTTCCTTATTTCTGCTTGCTATGCGAATGATGATGGTGGTGGCTTTCATCTGTATTGCCTTTAAATAGGCAGCAAAGCTTTGCCACTTGTTAGGTGTTGATAAAAAAATTCACTATTCCACCACCCCCCTTGACCAATAGGAATGAATCTGTAAAATACATCAAATCTTGGCTCTGAACTTCCACCCACTAAATCAGATCTGCCCACCCCCTTGAACGAATAAGAAATTGTATTTCACCCAAATAGCTGCCCCACATAAAACTAACCATTTAAATAAACAGTGTTGCCGACCTCATTGCCCAATAGAAACACATGGGAACTTCATTGTCACTGTACACCGTTTTATTAGCCAATAAGCAGCAGGCACCATGGAGCTCATCACCAAGATCACCAAATTATTTTCTCGGGCTCCAATAATGTCTTCACAAAATTTGATTTTCCAATTTTTTTTGAAGGAAAAAAGGATAAACGCATAATGTTGATGTTTTTTGGGGGAAACCTATTCACAAAAAAAACTGCTCCTTTATATATTAATAGATGTGAGTAATAAAAGTTTATATTACAACAGCCAAATGAATATATGATTACAAATTGACACTCAATATTATATTATAAAATAGAATTGCACTCCCTATTGAACAAGTAAAGTAAAACTGAAAAAGTATCCATTATTGTATCTCTAACGTAAGCTACTACTGGATCATATCGACAGACAACTCATCTTGCGACAGACAACTTGTCTGTGAGGGACAAACAAGTGTACAAAATTTGTGTATAAATTGTGTGTACCCCAATCTTTTTTCAATGAAATTAGCCCAAAATCCAACCCAACTATCCCATTTAATACTGCGCATTTAATACCATACCAAACCCTACCCTACCCTCTATATAACGCAAATAAACCTTCGCTGCTCCACTTATGCCCATCGGTCCAGAAGAGTCATGGGTTGAACCGATGCTCTCTGAAGCCGGACATGAAGGCACAACTGGTCGGGAGCTATTGCCGTTCCCCTGATGAGCCCAAAGGCAGGGCGAAACCAGTCTGGTCCTGTATGAGAGCAAGGCTGGTCCGCAGGGTGAGGGACCCCGGGACACCGCACGGGCGCTGTGGGCTGCGCTAGACTCCCATCATATGAAAAGGGTTCAATGTCCAATTATGAAACCCTTGAAAAAACAGGATCAATCCAAGGGTTGGGCTGTTCGCCCATTAAAGCGGTACGTGAGCTGGGTTCAGACCGTCGTGAGACAGTTCGGTCCCTATCCGGTGTGGGCGTTAGAGCATTGAGAGGATCTTTCCCTAGTACGAGAGATGTAACACCGTCCCCAAATGTATTTACTTTTAAAGAGAATAATGTATTGAACTCATGGAATGGTTAACGAGTATTCGAAGTTGTGAATTTTTATTAATGTTTTTGCGTGAATAGTAAATTCGCACGTGGGGCCCGCACCGGGAGCGGGGGCCGCCCGATATTCCCGAGACCGTATATTTTATTCATCTTGGTCAATATAACATTTTTATGGTGGTGGATAACTCATTTGAGCCATGGAAAGGTCCAGAGTTGACCGATTGGTCAAAAGAGGCCCAAATACCGGTATTGTCAATTTAACCGATAAAAGCCCGAAATTGAATTTCGGGGACTTATAAATTAAAGTTTGGGAATGAATATTCATTATAAGTGTCATGATGATGGAGAACACATAATATATTTTATTTGACCCGATAAAATAAAATAAAATTAAAACAGTCCGAAAAATACAACTTTCGGGACTGATTGTACACTCGTGGACAAAAAGGGTTGACCTCCCACATGTGTGGGGGCCAACCCACGTTTTTAGCCACCCAAAAATGAAGGGTTGGCCGGCTGGTGGGAATGGAAAACATGGGGGAGGATTTTGAATTGAAAGAAAAAGCATCAAGGTACATGAGGTGGACCTCCTCTCCACACTCATTTGATCAAAGAGACAAAAACACTCCTCACCCACTCTCTCCCTCATTTCCTGCGGCCAGAACCCTCCAAGCAAGAGCAAAGAGTTCTCCATCTTCCTTTCTCCATTGTTGAAGAGAGCTCAACAAGAAAGAATCCCAAGAAAAGAAACTAAAAGTGTTAAAAGTGTGAAAATTAAGGTAATAACCTTATCATAACTTTTTCTCTATTTTTCCTTCCATCATATGAGATATGTATCATATGGAGAATCCTTGAGATTGTTCTACATTCTAAGAGTGTGGAATAATGGGTTGGAGGGTGGTTCTAAGTCCAAGAACGGACTTAGAAGCCAAACCGACAAGTTCACCGGAAAATAACCTTGTAGAGGTTATGTGTATTGATTAAGGTTTTATGATGTTAAAACCTTGTTAGGAACTTGATTAAAGTATTTTTGAGCTTCGCCGGAGTTTCGCCGGAGTTGGTCAAAGTTGGCCGGAGTTGGTCAAAGTTTGCTAAAGTTCAATCGGGAGACGTAGATCGCACTTAAGCTCACTTAAGGTGAGGATGACCGACTATATTGCTTATAATTATTGGGTTAATTTCATAAGATTTCCTAAATGAATTATATGTGTTTGGCATGATTTATTAATAATAAAAAATGCCTAAATGAGATCATTATTGTTTATAAGCAAAAATGCATAATATACAAATTTATGAATAAATTGTGTATGATTATGTGTTATGAATATAATGGCATAATGGTTGTATAAACTACAAATTAAATGGTGATAAATATACTTTTATTTACGCACCGTCCGTAAATCAAGGGAGGACTCAAGCTAGAGTCTATGCGATGACCAAGGCTGACGCTCGGGCTGATCCCGACTCCGTTGCAGGTAACCCTTTGTGACGATTGATAAATTACATGTATTGAGTGCTAAAAGTGATAGCGGGTTTGTACGGGCTGGCCGGGGCCGTTACCGGCCGGTTTCCTAGCAAAAAGTTGCAAAAACTTAACTGCCCAGGGGTAAACCGGCGCCGGTCGAGGCTTAAACCGACGCCGGTTCTAATTAAAAACGCCCGTTTTAGGGTCGCCGTGGGTAAACCGGCGCCGGTTTTGGCCCATAACCGGCGCCGGCCAAGGGTCGGGGGAGGCTTAGCTAATAAAAATCTTATTTCCGGGGGACGCCGTAGCAAAACCGGCGCCGGTTTTGGCCATAACCGGCGCCGGTCTAGGGGAAAAGGGGGTCGGAAAGATCACCGTGCTCGTAACCGGGGCCGGTTTTGAAGAAAAAACAAGTTTTCGAAGTTGCCGAAGGTAAACCGGCGCCGGTTTTGGCCATAACCGGCGCCGGTCCAGTTAATTTTGTGAGTATCCGGCCACCCCGAAGGCAAACCGGCGCCGGTCTTGCCTAGAACCGGCGCCGGTCCAGTGTATTTTTACCCGAAAAAAATTTCATTAAGCCCCGTTTCGATCCGGTACGTTGCCTAGTGTGTCTTACATGACTTATGAATGTAGGAACATTAAAGATCAACGGTAGAAACGCAAGAATTCTCATTGATACCGGGGCACAACGTTCATTCGTGAGTGAAGCGTTTGCCGAAAGTTTAGACGTGCCGTTGATAGTAATGACACAACCCTTGTTGGTCTCTACACCGTTGGGAGACGATGTGGAGAGGAAACACTACTATCCTTCGTGTGAGGTAGAAGTGACGGGTCAACCATTGACTTGTGACTTCGTACCTCTAAGTATGTTAGAATTCGATGCAATTCTAGGGATGGATTGGCTCGAGAAACATCATGCTCGAGTGGATTGTTATGCCAAGGTTTTGGAACTCGAGGATGCTGAGGGAAACACTCTACGTTTCGAGGGAGATCGGGGAGGATCTCATAGTTGTATAATATCCGTGATGAGGGCACGGAAGATGATGAAGAAGGGATGCCATGCATACCTCGCTTATGTGGTGGATGAAGCAAAGAAGGAGGTTGACATCAACGATGTACGTGTCGTGTGCAAATATCCGGATGTCTTTCCCAAAGACTTGCCGGGGCTTCCACCCGACAGGGAGATCGAATTCGTGATTGAAGTGGAGCCGGGAACCAAACCCATTTCGATTCCTCCTTATCGAATGGCACCGGCCGAGCTTCAAGAGTTGAAGGTTCAACTCCAAGAGCTATTGGACAACGGGTTCATTAGACCCAGTCATTCACCGTGGGGAGCGCCCGTACTGTTCGTGAAGAAGAAAGATGGTACACTAAGAATGTGTATAGACTACCGACAGTTGAACAAGGTCACGATCAAGAACAGGTACCCTTTACCGAGGATTGATGACTTGTTTGATCAACTTCGAGGGGCAACAGTATTCTCGAAGATTGATTTAAGGTCAGTGTATCATCAGTTGAAGATAAAGGAGAGTGACATACCTAAGAGTGCATTTCGCACTAGATATGGTCACTACGAGTTTTTGGTGATGTCATTTGGTCTAACCAACGCACCGGCGACATTCATGGACATGATGAACCGTGTGTTTAGTGAATACTTAGATCAATTTGTGATAGTATTCATTGACGACATTTTGATATACTCCAAAAGTGAAGGGGAGCACGAAGATCATTTGAGTCTTGTACTTGAACGGCTAAGGGAAAAACAACTCTTTGCCAAGTTCTCTAAATGCGAGTTTTGGCTCAAAGAGATTGGGTTTCTCGGGCATGTCGTGTCATGTTCGGGCATTTCGGTGGATAAAGCCAAGATAGAAGCCATTATGAATTGGGAGAGACCCAAAAATGTGAAAGAGATACGTAGTTTCCTTGGCTTAGCGGGATACTATCGTAAGTTTGTTGAAAAATTTTCCGTATTGGCGTCTCCATTAACAAAGCTCACGAAGAAAGGGGCCAAGTTCATATGGGACGACAATTGTGAGAAAGGCTTTCTCGAACTAAAGAAACGGCTTACAGAAGCGCTGGTTCTCGCTCTACCCACGCAAGGGATAGGGTATGACATATACAGTGATGCTAGCATCCAAGGGCTTGGATGTGTACTAATGCAAAACGGTCGGGTGATTGCCTATGCTTCTAGGCAATTGAAGAAACACGAGACGAACTACCCTACCCACGATCTGGAGTTGGGAGCGGTAGTGTTTGCACTGAAGATTTGGAGGCATTATCTCTATGGGGAGACATGCCACATTTTCACCGATCATAAGAGCCTGAAGTATGTATTCACTCAGAAAGAGTTGAATATGAGACAAAGGAGATGGATGGAGTTGATCAAGGACTATGACTTGATCATCGACTATCATCCCGGAAAGGCCAATGTAGTGGCCGGTGCACTGAGCAGGAAGAGTACGTCGGGGACACTACTCTCATTTCTACGAACTTTGAGGGCACAAGTGGAGGTGTCCACGAGTGGGGTCCTTATTGCTAGATTTGAGGTTAGGCCTACATTGCTGGGTGAGATCAGTAGATGTCAGGCCACTGATGAAGAATGTCAGAAGATCCGTGAGCAGATTCTTAAAGGGCCCGTGGAGAACTTTCGGGTACGTGATGACGGCCTTTTGTTGTTTAAGGGCCGTGTGTGCATACCGAAGAGTGAAGAGCTCCAAAAGTCTATACTAGAGGAGGCTCATTCTTCGGCATATGCTATGCATCCAGGAGGTACTAAAATGTACCGAGACTTGAAGGAAAGCTACTGGTGGTCGGGTATGAAGAGGGACATCGCAGAGTATGTGAGTCGATGCCTTACTTGCCAACAAGTTAAGACAGAGCATCAGCACCCGGCGGGGCTTTTGCAGCCACTGACCATTCCAGAATGGAAGTGGGAGCATGTGACCATGGACTTCGTGGTGGGGCTACCACGAACAGTGAACAACTATGATGCGGTATGGGTAGTGGTTGATAGGCTCACCAAGAGTGCACACTTTTTGCCTATCAACATTACTTATCCTCTTGAAAGATTGGCAAAGCTATACACGGAGGAGATTGTGAGACTACATGGAGTCCCGATATCCATGGTCTCGGATAGGGATCCACGATTCACATCTCGGTTTTGGCCCAAGTTTCAAGCATCTTTGGGTACCAAACTGAAGTTTAGCACAGCTTTTCATCCGCAGACGGATGGACAGTCTGAGAGAGTGATACAGATTCTGGAAGATATGCTTAGAGCATGTGCTTTGGAGTTCCAAGGAAGTTGGGACAAGCATTTGGCTCTAGTTGAGTTTGCCTATAACAACAGTTATCAGGTGAGTATTGGCATGCCTCCATACGAGGCATTGTATGGGAGGAAGTGCAGAACACCGTTGTGTTGGGACGAGGTTGGCGAGGCCAAGCTCGAAGGGATTGAACTTGTTGAAATCACCAAAGCTAAGGCGAAAGTCATTCAGGATAGACTCAAGGCTGCCCAAGATCGGCAGAAGAGTTATGCCGACAAACGGCGCAGGCCATTGGAGTTCGAGGTCGGTGATAAGGTCTTCCTAAGGATTTCTCCTTGGAAGGGTATCATCCGATTTATACCGAGGGGAAAACTTAACCCCCGATACATTGGTCCGTTTGAAATCCTTGAAAGGATTGAGGCCGTGGCATACCGTCTCAAGTTGACGCCGGAACTTGAGAAGATACACGACGTGTTTCATGTATCGATGCTCAAGAAATACGTGAGAGATCCATCTCATATTCTTGAGAAGCCACCGGTGGAGATACGTGAAGATCTACAATATGCGGTGGAACCGGTAAAGATTGTAGGTCAACAGGTGAAGAAGCTCAGTAACAAGGAGATTCCTATGGTGAAGGTTCTTTGGAGGAGTGATCGAGTCGAAGAAGAGACCTGGGAGACTGAGGTCTCGATGAGAGAGCAATACCCGTTTCTTTTCGATTAGACACGTGGATTTCGGGGACGAAATCCCAAATAAGGGGGGGTGAACTTGTAACACCGTCCCCAAATGTATTTACTTTTAAAGAGAATAATGTATTGAACTCATGGAATGGTTAACGAGTATTCGAAGTTGTGAATTTTTATTAATGTTTTTGCGTGAATAGTAAATTCGCACGTGGGGCCCGCACCGGGAGCGGGGGCCGCCCGATATTCCCGAGACCGTATATTTTATTCATCTTGGTCAATATAACATTTTTATGGTGGTGGATAACTCATTTGAGCCATGGAAAGGTCCAGAGTTGACCGATTGGTCAAAAGAGGCCCAAATACCGGTATTGTCAATTTAACCGATAAAAGCCCGAAATTGAATTTCGGGGACTTATAAATTAAAGTTTGGGAATGAATATTCATTATAAGTGTCATGATGATGGAGAACACATAATATATTTTATTTGACCCGATAAAATAAAATAAAATTAAAACAGTCCGAAAAATACAACTTTCGGGACTGATTGTACACTCGTGGACAAAAAGGGTTGACCTCCCACATGTGTGGGGGCCAACCCACGTTTTTAGCCACCCAAAAATGAAGGGTTGGCCGGCTGGTGGGAATGGAAAACATGGGGGAGGATTTTGAATTGAAAGAAAAAGCATCAAGGTACATGAGGTGGACCTCCTCTCCACACTCATTTGATCAAAGAGACAAAAACACTCCTCACCCACTCTCTCCCTCATTTCCTGCGGCCAGAACCCTCCAAGCAAGAGCAAAGAGTTCTCCATCTTCCTTTCTCCATTGTTGAAGAGAGCTCAACAAGAAAGAATCCCAAGAAAAGAAACTAAAAGTGTTAAAAGTGTGAAAATTAAGGTAATAACCTTATCATAACTTTTTCTCTATTTTTCCTTCCATCATATGAGATATGTATCATATGGAGAATCCTTGAGATTGTTCTACATTCTAAGAGTGTGGAATAATGGGTTGGAGGGTGGTTCTAAGTCCAAGAACGGACTTAGAAGCCAAACCGACAAGTTCACCGGAAAATAACCTTGTAGAGGTTATGTGTATTGATTAAGGTTTTATGATGTTAAAACCTTGTTAGGAACTTGATTAAAGTATTTTTGAGCTTCGCCGGAGTTTCGCCGGAGTTGGTCAAAGTTGGCCGGAGTTGGTCAAAGTTTGCTAAAGTTCAATCGGGAGACGTAGATCGCACTTAAGCTCACTTAAGGTGAGGATGACCGACTATATTGCTTATAATTATTGGGTTAATTTCATAAGATTTCCTAAATGAATTATATGTGTTTGGCATGATTTATTAATAATAAAAAATGCCTAAATGAGATCATTATTGTTTATAAGCAAAAATGCATAATATACAAATTTATGAATAAATTGTGTATGATTATGTGTTATGAATATAATGGCATAATGGTTGTATAAACTACAAATTAAATGGTGATAAATATACTTTTACCTCATGTAAGGAAGTCATGGGAGGATAAAAGTGATATTTTGATAATAGAGCCAAATTATACTTGAATGTGAAATTTAGTTGAAATATACGAATTATTATGAAATTGCATTGGTTTATTAAGATTAAACAACTAGTATAGAAATACTAGTCGGGAATGTAAGTTCAATAGTTCTTGGGGGCTAATCCCAAAATATTAGAGTTGAATAACCTTAAAGGATATTTTTAAGGTGGACTTTATGAAGTCAAGTTACATTAGGAGTAGGCCTTAAGGGTTACTCAAAATGGAAGGAACCTAGACTAAGAAGTGGTTTAGGGATTAGATGACGTGACTATGAGCCGAGCTCTAGCACGTGGTAGTATGACTATGAGCCGAGCTCTAGCAAAATGTAGTATGACTATGAGCCGAGCTCTAGCAAGATGTAGTGTGACTATGAGCCGAGCTCTAGCACAAATTAGTATGACTATGAGCCGAGCTCTAGCAAAATGTAGCGTGACTATGAGCCGAGCTCTAGCACAAATTGGGATGACTATGAGCCGAGCTCTAGCATGAAGAAATGTGAATTTAATATAAATAATAGCACCCTAGATTTAGGGTCTTGGAAATTGAAACTTTGATTATACTTAGTATAGTTGTCATTGTACTTGTCAAATGCTTCCAAGTACTGACCTCCCCTTCACGGGGGAGGCCACCTCACAGTTTCAGGTAGAACTTGAAGGTTGCTACCACCGCCCGTTGCTTCGGGAAGATCAAAGGAGGGAGACGTGGTTCGTGCTTCTTCCGTTCCTGTTTTGAAAACATTTTAAATAATGCTCATGGATAATATTTTTAAATATTTATTTGGGGGCTTGTATGCCCATGTTTGCCAAGGTGTGGCATGAATACTCGTATTGAATGTTTCCGCTGCTATGAAAGAATATTTTACATTATGTTTGTTTATGGACGTACTATGTGTGAAAGATATTCCAGACGCCTTGTATAGTATGGATGTGTTGGACTGCGGTTGACTATTCGTACTGTACGGCGGATTGTTGGCGTGTCCGGTTAGGTCCGGGGCGTGACAATTTAATTGGTATCAGAGCCTTAGTCCGTAAACTTCATAATGAAGCTTCAAAATCTCTTTTCGAAAATGAATTTGAAAACCATGAGCATAAAAGTTTTGTACTTGTAGAACTTTTGGTACTTGAGTTGCAAAGTCTCTAATTGTTAAGATGGTACCCTTAACAATTGGTATGGCGGTGATTTGAGCCAAAGGATGTCTTTAAGTACCTATCCGTCATTTGACATTGATACGAGTGTAATGACTCACTCTAATTCCTTTCAGAAATGGAGCCAGTCGGAAGGATCACTAGGAGGAACCCGACGGGCCGTGTACCGGGTGGGTCCGAACGTGGTAGCCGGGGGTCCTCTAGGGGATCAAGAGGAAGGGGCCGTGGAGGCCAACGTCAAACCGTGAGCGATGGCCACGTCGACACGGAGAGTGAGACCTATTGGTCTTATGAGGACTCAACCTACCGGCCGGAAACTGAGCCGGTTGAGACCCCTTATGAGAGGGATGATGATGATGTGAGCGACGAGGAGGAAAGTGGCTCCTTGGCTCGGATCGAAGCGCTGATCCAACAATATCATCGGGAGCGCGAGGAAAGGAGGGAACGCCGAAGGCGCCGTGCGGGGCAACCTTCGGGTGGGGCTCCAAGAGGAAGGAGCTATTGTGATTCAAGAACCCATGTGGAAGCGCATGGGAGTCGAGGTGATGGAGGTCCAACCATAAGGATCTCCAAATACATCAAAGAGGCGAGGGACTTGGGGTGCAAACCGTTCGATGGGACGGGGGACATCTCGGTGGCCGCGCAATGGATCAAGAGGCTGAACGAGGCAGCCCTTGACATGCAACTCACCCCCGATTTCAAACTGAGAATCGCGGTGAGGTTACTTGAAGGGTTGGCATCCAAGTGGTGGGATGGAACCAAGGGCAAGTATGGAGGGAATGTTACTTGGGAGGATTTTCGGCAAGAATTCTTTGCCCAATACTACTCTGACTTTGAGGTAAATGCCAAGGTGAGAGAATACACTCTTCTAACCCAAGGGGGTAACATGACGGTGAAAGAACTTGAGCACAAGTTCAGGGACCTTGCCGACCACATACCGGAGTATGCTTGTGATGAAAACCGAATGGTGAATCACTTTTGGGAGGCCTTGGACTTGGAGATACGTGATAGGGCGACTCAATTGCCCAACATGACTTTCAGCCAAGTGGTTGCCCAAGGGTTGAAAGGAGAGAAGCAATGGGAAGAGAGAAAGAAGAGAGACGCCGATGAGGCGAAGAAGAGGAAGTGGGAGAATCATGGCCCCCAAGGTTCTAACAAAAAGGGGAACCACGGGGGAGGTGGATCGTTCAGAGCACCGGCACCGCCATCCAAGGGGAAACCGGCCTTCAGCGGGCACAACTCGGGCTCACAAGCCTCAACGACGCCCAGGTGCAGGAATTGCAACAGGAGCCACGCCGGTAAGTGTCGTGATCCACCACGGTGCTTCCAATGCGGGAGTACAGGGCATATTAAACCAAATTGCCCTAAACTTGGTGGGAACCGAGGGGCGGGATCAAGCGGCGCCACCACGACGAGTAGGAGCCGAACCGGGGCACCCCATGCTAGTGCGGGGCAAGGGGGAGCGAGCACGAGCAACGCACCGTCCGTAAATCAAGGGAGGACTCAAGCTAGAGTCTATGCGATGACCAAGGCTGACGCTCGGGCTGATCCCGACTCCGTTGCAGGTAACCCTTTGTGACGATTGATAAATTACATGTATTGAGTGCTAAAAGTGATAGCGGGTTTGTACGGGCTGGCCGGGGCCGTTACCGGCCGGTTTCCTAGCAAAAAGTTGCAAAAACTTAACTGCCCAGGGGTAAACCGGCGCCGGTCGAGGCTTAAACCGACGCCGGTTCTAATTAAAAACGCCCGTTTTAGGGTCGCCGTGGGTAAACCGGCGCCGGTTTTGGCCCATAACCGGCGCCGGCCAAGGGTCGGGGGAGGCTTAGCTAATAAAAATCTTATTTCCGGGGGACGCCGTAGCAAAACCGGCGCCGGTTTTGGCCATAACCGGCGCCGGTCTAGGGGAAAAGGGGGTCGGAAAGATCACCGTGCTCGTAACCGGGGCCGGTTTTGAAGAAAAAACAAGTTTTCGAAGTTGCCGAAGGTAAACCGGCGCCGGTTTTGGCCATAACCGGCGCCGGTCCAGTTAATTTTGTGAGTATCCGGCCACCCCGAAGGCAAACCGGCGCCGGTCTTGCCTAGAACCGGCGCCGGTCCAGTGTATTTTTACCCGAAAAAAATTTCATTAAGCCCCGTTTCGATCCGGTACGTTGCCTAGTGTGTCTTACATGACTTATGAATGTAGGAACATTAAAGATCAACGGTAGAAACGCAAGAATTCTCATTGATACCGGGGCACAACGTTCATTCGTGAGTGAAGCGTTTGCCGAAAGTTTAGACGTGCCGTTGATAGTAATGACACAACCCTTGTTGGTCTCTACACCGTTGGGAGACGATGTGGAGAGGAAACACTACTATCCTTCGTGTGAGGTAGAAGTGACGGGTCAACCATTGACTTGTGACTTCGTACCTCTAAGTATGTTAGAATTCGATGCAATTCTAGGGATGGATTGGCTCGAGAAACATCATGCTCGAGTGGATTGTTATGCCAAGGTTTTGGAACTCGAGGATGCTGAGGGAAACACTCTACGTTTCGAGGGAGATCGGGGAGGATCTCATAGTTGTATAATATCCGTGATGAGGGCACGGAAGATGATGAAGAAGGGATGCCATGCATACCTCGCTTATGTGGTGGATGAAGCAAAGAAGGAGGTTGACATCAACGATGTACGTGTCGTGTGCAAATATCCGGATGTCTTTCCCAAAGACTTGCCGGGGCTTCCACCCGACAGGGAGATCGAATTCGTGATTGAAGTGGAGCCGGGAACCAAACCCATTTCGATTCCTCCTTATCGAATGGCACCGGCCGAGCTTCAAGAGTTGAAGGTTCAACTCCAAGAGCTATTGGACAACGGGTTCATTAGACCCAGTCATTCACCGTGGGGAGCGCCCGTACTGTTCGTGAAGAAGAAAGATGGTACACTAAGAATGTGTATAGACTACCGACAGTTGAACAAGGTCACGATCAAGAACAGGTACCCTTTACCGAGGATTGATGACTTGTTTGATCAACTTCGAGGGGCAACAGTATTCTCGAAGATTGATTTAAGGTCAGTGTATCATCAGTTGAAGATAAAGGAGAGTGACATACCTAAGAGTGCATTTCGCACTAGATATGGTCACTACGAGTTTTTGGTGATGTCATTTGGTCTAACCAACGCACCGGCGACATTCATGGACATGATGAACCGTGTGTTTAGTGAATACTTAGATCAATTTGTGATAGTATTCATTGACGACATTTTGATATACTCCAAAAGTGAAGGGGAGCACGAAGATCATTTGAGTCTTGTACTTGAACGGCTAAGGGAAAAACAACTCTTTGCCAAGTTCTCTAAATGCGAGTTTTGGCTCAAAGAGATTGGGTTTCTCGGGCATGTCGTGTCATGTTCGGGCATTTCGGTGGATAAAGCCAAGATAGAAGCCATTATGAATTGGGAGAGACCCAAAAATGTGAAAGAGATACGTAGTTTCCTTGGCTTAGCGGGATACTATCGTAAGTTTGTTGAAAAATTTTCCGTATTGGCGTCTCCATTAACAAAGCTCACGAAGAAAGGGGCCAAGTTCATATGGGACGACAATTGTGAGAAAGGCTTTCTCGAACTAAAGAAACGGCTTACAGAAGCGCTGGTTCTCGCTCTACCCACGCAAGGGATAGGGTATGACATATACAGTGATGCTAGCATCCAAGGGCTTGGATGTGTACTAATGCAAAACGGTCGGGTGATTGCCTATGCTTCTAGGCAATTGAAGAAACACGAGACGAACTACCCTACCCACGATCTGGAGTTGGGAGCGGTAGTGTTTGCACTGAAGATTTGGAGGCATTATCTCTATGGGGAGACATGCCACATTTTCACCGATCATAAGAGCCTGAAGTATGTATTCACTCAGAAAGAGTTGAATATGAGACAAAGGAGATGGATGGAGTTGATCAAGGACTATGACTTGATCATCGACTATCATCCCGGAAAGGCCAATGTAGTGGCCGGTGCACTGAGCAGGAAGAGTACGTCGGGGACACTACTCTCATTTCTACGAACTTTGAGGGCACAAGTGGAGGTGTCCACGAGTGGGGTCCTTATTGCTAGATTTGAGGTTAGGCCTACATTGCTGGGTGAGATCAGTAGATGTCAGGCCACTGATGAAGAATGTCAGAAGATCCGTGAGCAGATTCTTAAAGGGCCCGTGGAGAACTTTCGGGTACGTGATGACGGCCTTTTGTTGTTTAAGGGCCGTGTGTGCATACCGAAGAGTGAAGAGCTCCAAAAGTCTATACTAGAGGAGGCTCATTCTTCGGCATATGCTATGCATCCAGGAGGTACTAAAATGTACCGAGACTTGAAGGAAAGCTACTGGTGGTCGGGTATGAAGAGGGACATCGCAGAGTATGTGAGTCGATGCCTTACTTGCCAACAAGTTAAGACAGAGCATCAGCACCCGGCGGGGCTTTTGCAGCCACTGACCATTCCAGAATGGAAGTGGGAGCATGTGACCATGGACTTCGTGGTGGGGCTACCACGAACAGTGAACAACTATGATGCGGTATGGGTAGTGGTTGATAGGCTCACCAAGAGTGCACACTTTTTGCCTATCAACATTACTTATCCTCTTGAAAGATTGGCAAAGCTATACACGGAGGAGATTGTGAGACTACATGGAGTCCCGATATCCATGGTCTCGGATAGGGATCCACGATTCACATCTCGGTTTTGGCCCAAGTTTCAAGCATCTTTGGGTACCAAACTGAAGTTTAGCACAGCTTTTCATCCGCAGACGGATGGACAGTCTGAGAGAGTGATACAGATTCTGGAAGATATGCTTAGAGCATGTGCTTTGGAGTTCCAAGGAAGTTGGGACAAGCATTTGGCTCTAGTTGAGTTTGCCTATAACAACAGTTATCAGGTGAGTATTGGCATGCCTCCATACGAGGCATTGTATGGGAGGAAGTGCAGAACACCGTTGTGTTGGGACGAGGTTGGCGAGGCCAAGCTCGAAGGGATTGAACTTGTTGAAATCACCAAAGCTAAGGCGAAAGTCATTCAGGATAGACTCAAGGCTGCCCAAGATCGGCAGAAGAGTTATGCCGACAAACGGCGCAGGCCATTGGAGTTCGAGGTCGGTGATAAGGTCTTCCTAAGGATTTCTCCTTGGAAGGGTATCATCCGATTTATACCGAGGGGAAAACTTAACCCCCGATACATTGGTCCGTTTGAAATCCTTGAAAGGATTGAGGCCGTGGCATACCGTCTCAAGTTGACGCCGGAACTTGAGAAGATACACGACGTGTTTCATGTATCGATGCTCAAGAAATACGTGAGAGATCCATCTCATATTCTTGAGAAGCCACCGGTGGAGATACGTGAAGATCTACAATATGCGGTGGAACCGGTAAAGATTGTAGGTCAACAGGTGAAGAAGCTCAGTAACAAGGAGATTCCTATGGTGAAGGTTCTTTGGAGGAGTGATCGAGTCGAAGAAGAGACCTGGGAGACTGAGGTCTCGATGAGAGAGCAATACCCGTTTCTTTTCGATTAGACACGTGGATTTCGGGGACGAAATCCCAAATAAGGGGGGGTGAACTTGTAACACCGTCCCCAAATGTATTTACTTTTAAAGAGAATAATGTATTGAACTCATGGAATGGTTAACGAGTATTCGAAGTTGTGAATTTTTATTAATGTTTTTGCGTGAATAGTAAATTCGCACGTGGGGCCCGCACCGGGAGCGGGGGCCGCCCGATATTCCCGAGACCGTATATTTTATTCATCTTGGTCAATATAACATTTTTATGGTGGTGGATAACTCATTTGAGCCATGGAAAGGTCCAGAGTTGACCGATTGGTCAAAAGAGGCCCAAATACCGGTATTGTCAATTTAACCGATAAAAGCCCGAAATTGAATTTCGGGGACTTATAAATTAAAGTTTGGGAATGAATATTCATTATAAGTGTCATGATGATGGAGAACACATAATATATTTTATTTGACCCGATAAAATAAAATAAAATTAAAACAGTCCGAAAAATACAACTTTCGGGACTGATTGTACACTCGTGGACAAAAAGGGTTGACCTCCCACATGTGTGGGGGCCAACCCACGTTTTTAGCCACCCAAAAATGAAGGGTTGGCCGGCTGGTGGGAATGGAAAACATGGGGGAGGATTTTGAATTGAAAGAAAAAGCATCAAGGTACATGAGGTGGACCTCCTCTCCACACTCATTTGATCAAAGAGACAAAAACACTCCTCACCCACTCTCTCCCTCATTTCCTGCGGCCAGAACCCTCCAAGCAAGAGCAAAGAGTTCTCCATCTTCCTTTCTCCATTGTTGAAGAGAGCTCAACAAGAAAGAATCCCAAGAAAAGAAACTAAAAGTGTTAAAAGTGTGAAAATTAAGGTAATAACCTTATCATAACTTTTTCTCTATTTTTCCTTCCATCATATGAGATATGTATCATATGGAGAATCCTTGAGATTGTTCTACATTCTAAGAGTGTGGAATAATGGGTTGGAGGGTGGTTCTAAGTCCAAGAACGGACTTAGAAGCCAAACCGACAAGTTCACCGGAAAATAACCTTGTAGAGGTTATGTGTATTGATTAAGGTTTTATGATGTTAAAACCTTGTTAGGAACTTGATTAAAGTATTTTTGAGCTTCGCCGGAGTTTCGCCGGAGTTGGTCAAAGTTGGCCGGAGTTGGTCAAAGTTTGCTAAAGTTCAATCGGGAGACGTAGATCGCACTTAAGCTCACTTAAGGTGAGGATGACCGACTATATTGCTTATAATTATTGGGTTAATTTCATAAGATTTCCTAAATGAATTATATGTGTTTGGCATGATTTATTAATAATAAAAAATGCCTAAATGAGATCATTATTGTTTATAAGCAAAAATGCATAATATACAAATTTATGAATAAATTGTGTATGATTATGTGTTATGAATATAATGGCATAATGGTTGTATAAACTACAAATTAAATGGTGATAAATATACTTTTACCTCATGTAAGGAAGTCATGGGAGGATAAAAGTGATATTTTGATAATAGAGCCAAATTATACTTGAATGTGAAATTTAGTTGAAATATACGAATTATTATGAAATTGCATTGGTTTATTAAGATTAAACAACTAGTATAGAAATACTAGTCGGGAATGTAAGTTCAATAGTTCTTGGGGGCTAATCCCAAAATATTAGAGTTGAATAACCTTAAAGGATATTTTTAAGGTGGACTTTATGAAGTCAAGTTACATTAGGAGTAGGCCTTAAGGGTTACTCAAAATGGAAGGAACCTAGACTAAGAAGTGGTTTAGGGATTAGATGACGTGACTATGAGCCGAGCTCTAGCACGTGGTAGTATGACTATGAGCCGAGCTCTAGCAAAATGTAGTATGACTATGAGCCGAGCTCTAGCAAGATGTAGTGTGACTATGAGCCGAGCTCTAGCACAAATTAGTATGACTATGAGCCGAGCTCTAGCAAAATGTAGCGTGACTATGAGCCGAGCTCTAGCACAAATTGGGATGACTATGAGCCGAGCTCTAGCATGAAGAAATGTGAATTTAATATAAATAATAGCACCCTAGATTTAGGGTCTTGGAAATTGAAACTTTGATTATACTTAGTATAGTTGTCATTGTACTTGTCAAATGCTTCCAAGTACTGACCTCCCCTTCACGGGGGAGGCCACCTCACAGTTTCAGGTAGAACTTGAAGGTTGCTACCACCGCCCGTTGCTTCGGGAAGATCAAAGGAGGGAGACGTGGTTCGTGCTTCTTCCGTTCCTGTTTTGAAAACATTTTAAATAATGCTCATGGATAATATTTTTAAATATTTATTTGGGGGCTTGTATGCCCATGTTTGCCAAGGTGTGGCATGAATACTCGTATTGAATGTTTCCGCTGCTATGAAAGAATATTTTACATTATGTTTGTTTATGGACGTACTATGTGTGAAAGATATTCCAGACGCCTTGTATAGTATGGATGTGTTGGACTGCGGTTGACTATTCGTACTGTACGGCGGATTGTTGGCGTGTCCGGTTAGGTCCGGGGCGTGACAAGAGGACCGGGAAGGACGCACCTCTGGTGTAGCCCTCTGTGTCCTGCCTCCCTTTGTGTCCACAAACTTCGTTCCTCCTCCTTTTTCCGTTCATCCATACATCACATCTCTCTTGGCCCCTATGATAGTATGATGCCTCCAAAGGATTTTCGCCTATTCAATAGTATGATCACCGAGCACATATAGTCTTCAGAAGATAGGTTTGGTTGCATCGTGACAGTAGGTACGGCGCCAGAGCTGAAGTGAAGCTAGAGATCGTCTCTGATGATGAGATTCCAGACGTGGCACCGAAAAAGATAGGGTTGTTGGAAGAGTAGATTCCCAAGTTGTTGTTAATATATGAGATGTATATGAGATATACATCTCCCTGGTCCCCTGGACGTCACCGAGCATGTATAGTCTTCATTAAAAGTCCTTCCAGAAATTAAACCACAAAATAATGTGATGAAAAGTTTTGTATAAACAAAGTTTTCAATAAACAAAGTCTTACTGGATATAAATATTGTCACACCCTTAAGATTTTGTTCACAAAAAAATAATTAGAGAAAATATGAGGAGATGATATTTTCAATCATATAAATTTAATCAGATAATTTTTAATCAGATAAATCTAATCATATAAATTTAATCAAATAAATCTAATCAGATAAATCTCTTTAGATAAATTTAAATCTTATAAATCTTAATCAGATAAATCTAATCAGATAAATTTTAATCAGATAAATCTAAGCAGATTAATTTAATCAAATAAAACAAATCAGATAAATTAAAAGAGATCAATTTAATCAGATAAATTTTAATCAGATAAATCTAACCGGATAAATTTAATCAGATAAATTTTAATCTTATAAATCTTAATCGGATAAATTTTAATTAGATAAATTTTAATCAGATAAATTTTCCGATAAATTTTAATCAGATAAATATTGATTAGATAAATTCGCTAGGGTCCTCAAATTCAGTGCATACCGTCGAGCTCTATAAAATACATTAAAGTCTGTAAAAATTCGTACATCTGCCAAAATTGAAGTCTGGCAAAATTAATCCAACTCCTAAAGAAACACAACTACAATTGGACGGGGATCGCCATCGGGCGGGAATTGAGTTAAATTTTGGCGATTTTAGATTATTTTAGATATGCCAGGGCCGAGCATTAAACGTTTAATGTAGTATTAAATTTATTATTGTATGTACGTACTATCTATTTATTGATAAATTACATTGAATATGAGATTTGCTTTGTTCACTTCCATTAAAATTACAAAAATTGCGTTTTAAACAAAATGAAATTTGTAATTCATTTTATGAATGTAATTCACAATAGGGATGGATTAAAAAAATAAAATAAAGTAATCAATGTTTTTTTATTTAAAAAATCAAAATGCATTTTTTTTTCCAAAAATATCACGTATTACTTTTACGGTTTTAAAAAACTGAGGTTATGCACTATTTTTTTTTGTTTTGTCATGAAATTACTCTAGTTGGAAACTCAAGCATGTGGGAGTGAGATTATGCACTATTTTAAAACGTGCCACTCGCTTTTACAGTTTCAAAGTGTGCCAAAATTAAGTTTAACAAATAAAAGAAAACCTCTAGTCGGAATTCCTACATCCGACAGGAGGAAACACTATTTTTTGAAACCCTATCTCTGGTCGGATAACCAATTTGATGATTCCCGTATTTTGGTAAAACATCCTCCCTGTTAATTACTAACGACAAAATAAAATGTACATCTGACTTATGAATATTACATAACCGAGCACCATATTTAGGTCCCAGGACCTAAAACTTTTATTGTTTTGTAAAGTATACTAAAATAAAGGGAAAATATAGTAAACCTTGATAAATTTGACCTGCAATCAAAAGGTAATGACATGTTAAAATATATTTAGTAATATAACACATAAAACGCAATAATTTGTAAGTCTAAAGATCCTTTTAGCTTTTTTAATGCACAACGTTGGGGTAGTTATTACTTATTAACCCACTACCTACAGATCAAGGACCAATATTGGGTCTAGATTGAGAACAGTAGATAAAGAACAAGGATTAATAACAAATACTCCCTCCGTCCCGCTAAGATTGTCCCATTTTACCTTTTTGGCAAGCCCCACTAAGAATGTCTCATACCAAATTTGGTAAAGTTTGTGTGGTTCTAAATCATTCTTACTTTGTTATTATTTTATCAATTTAATATCAACCACACAAACCCACGTTTCTTAATAACCGTGTCACATTCTCTTGTCTCAATCTTAGTAGAACAGAGGTAGTATCTAATTGAACATGACCAAAGGTTTGTTTATTACTTTTAATAACTGGAATAATATGATTACCATTATTTGAAACATTGATGTATAAACCCATTCATACTGTGCTTCAGTGTAAAATAATTGTTAAAAACAAAAGAACTAAATTATAAAAAAACTCACTGTGTTTAATCAAAGAAAACTTGAGTCTTAAACATTATCAAAGAAAATAAGATAACAAGTAAATAGAAACAAAGAAATGCTATGAATGGGTATATCCAATTCTAACAAAGGGTTTTTCGTGTTTCAAAATATATTACTTCTAGAGAGTAGAGAGGATTGTAAACTTTAGGTTCAAATAAAGACAATTTATAGGGGATACTCCCAATGCTTTATTCCGTAGTGAAATAGTACATCTTTAGGTCGTGAAATAGCTGATATAATGAATATGATATTCTATTTTAATTAAAATAGTAGTAATAATTCGGGTGTGGAATGTATATCTTTGTTAAATATATAGTGAAAAGAAATAGTTGTGTGACCGAAATAGACGACATATAAAATATACATCAAATAAAATTTAACAATGAACAATGTACTTGAATTCGTATATTCACAGATATTAAATGAAAGAGGACGAGTGGAACCTTGGGTGTTTTCCCAAAACACGGGAAAAGTCAGCATGTAGTGCAAAAACACGGGAAAATTGTAGGGTTTCTAAGAAAACGAATTTCGGATGATGATGTTCCGAATAGATTTAGGGTTACAAGAGAGTAGGTTTAGCAGGCATTCGGAAAGCAACATTCCAAATTTATTAATTTATTTTATGTATTTTTTAAGTATTCGGAACATGGTGTTCCAAATAGAGGTTTTTTAATTTTTTGATGCACCATTCGGATGATGCACTTCCAAATCTAACTTTTTTAATTTTTATTTTATCTATAGAAATTAAATTTGATATGTATGAGTAACTATTTTAATTAGGGGTGGGAAAAACCGACCCTGGATTGCCCCGAATTATGATCCCGGGGCGGATTTTTTCTTTTTAACCGACCCAAATTTAAAAAAAAAAAACCGGAACGAACCTAAAATTACGGGCTCATAGACGGACCTTAAAATATAACCCCGTCCGGACAAATAAAAATCCGAAACAACTAGCTATAATATAAAATTAATACTCCGTATAATATATGAATATAAATTTATAAATATTTCCTAATATATGATAATAGTCACGGTGCATAAAAAATGATTTAGCAACTTTTAGTAACTAAAAATATGTTCAATTTGTTTAGCGTAATGACCATTAAATATATTTACATCAACTCTAGTCACATTTATCTATATATTTTATTTCGTAATATTAATTTTCAGGAAACCTATATTATTTATTTACATGCATCTTAAATAAAATATTAAGATAATTATCTTCTTTGGATTTGAATTGTTGGTGATTTTGGAGACTTGTATTTGTGTTATTATTTTCGATTTGTATTTTTAATTAATTTTGTTTGAAAATAGGTGTTAAAGTATAAAAAAACAATGAGATATTTCAAGTTCGAGCTTTAAGTGATCCAACCCGAACCCGGACCGAACCCGGGCTACCAAAAACCCGACTCGGACCAAATATAATGGGCTTTGTTCCGGTCCCTAATTTTCATAACCCGAGACTTTCCGGGTAATTTCCGGGTTTAACAAAACCCCGAACCAGACTGGACCGTTCCCACCCCTAATTTTAATATGTACAATTTAAATCTGTATTATTGTAACCCGTACAATTTATTTGTTTTTGTAATATTTTTTTAACGCAACTCTTATAAAAAAAATTAAACGCATGTATCATTTTTAATTTTGTGTTGAATTTTGTTTTCAATGTTGCATTTTTAATTTTGTTTTTCTTCATTCGGAAATTACAATTAGCAATTGACCCCGCATTCCCAATATTCTTTTTTTTTTCATTTGGAAAATAGCATTCCAAATTGACCCACCTCCCATTTCCTCCCTTTTCCATTCGGAATACCCCATTCCAAATTGACCCCACCACCTCGCCCTAACTCATTTGGAAAATGGCTTTCCGAATCCCGCTTTTTTGTATCCTAATTGGAACTCCCGTGTTTTTGCTCAATGTGTTAGAAACTCCCCTGGTTTAGGAATTGTCTCTGGAACCTTGATGGGGAGACCACAGGGTATACCTGGCTGTGAGCTGGAACATCAACCGCAAACGAAGATGGCCAGAAAGTATTGAACGCAGCACATACGAACCAGATCTATAGTGAGAGTGTGTGTGAGGATGAAAGTGTGTGACAGTGAGTTGAGTAAGGATGATGAAGTGTGGAGCAGACTGATCTCGAGAGATCGATGTGCGATAGTGCGAGGGTGTAGTGAGGTGAGTGATGACGTATAGATATCCTCTTGCTAAATCAGTCCAAGTTCCATTGGACTTCAATTTTGTCACTTCCTTGTTAAAGAGACTAATTTGCGGCTCTGTTCATTTTTCTCGCTTCTGCACACATCTCAACCACACAATTTTTACTTTATTATTTCTCACCTCATTTGAACTTGGTAATATCCACTAGGCGAGGTAATATGATATTTTTTGTACAGTGCC